TAATGAAGTAGATGATAAGGATGAAGAAGTAAGTCAACCAGTCGATGTTAACGAAGTAGACGATAAGGAAGAAGAATTGATGAAGCCCGCCTCTAATAATGAAGAAGATGATAATGAAGAAGAGGGTTGCTTTTTTCTAAATTTGGATGATCCCGGGAATTGAGAAATCATTGATCAAAGAACAAGGGATTACTTAGTTGAAAGAGGTCAAAAAAGAGTTGATGACATCTCGTTTTCGAAAGACTATACGAATAGACATTTCGATTTTTCACAATATAAGCGATTGCTACCAAATGGACAAACAGTTTATAGAAGATGGCTAGTATATTCAGTGTCTATAGACAAGATCTTCTGCTTTTGTTGCAAGCTATTTAAAACACCAATAAATGTGACCAAAGTGATGGATTTAAATATTGACATAATTTGTATCGGTCTATTAAAAGTCATGAAGGAAATGAGGAGCATTTACGTTGCATGACTAGCTGGATTGAATTGGAAAATAGGCTTTGAACAAAAAATACAATTGATAAAAGCGTTAAATTATTTATTGATGTTGAAAGAGAACATTGAAGACATGTATTAACAAGGATAATCGCTATTTTGAAAAGACTTGCGAAAAACACATTGTCATTTCGAGGAGATGATGGAGGCTACATGTTGAGAACAATGGCCTATTTTTACAAATAGTGAAAATGGTTAGTGAATTTGATCCAATAATGCAAGAGCACTTTCGGCGGGCTAAAGCAAGAGAGATTCAATATACGTATCTTGGCAAAAAAATTCAAAATGAGTTGATACAGTTGTTGGCTAATAAGGTGAGAAGTTCAATTGTCAAGAAAGTTAAACATGCAAAATATTTTCACAGTTATACTTGATTGTACTCTAGATGCAAGTCACAAAGAGCAAATGTCTTTAATTGTACGATTTGTAGATGATTCGGCAAACTTACCTACAGTTGAAGAACATTGGCTAGAATTTTTGAAGGTAGATGACACAATACGACTTGGACTTGCAACCAAGCTTCAAAAGGTTTTGATAAAATTTGATCTCGATATTGATGATGTTAGAGGGCAAGAGTATAACAACGGATCTAACATGAGCGAGAAATACAAAGGTGTGCAAAAAAGAGTCCATGAAATGAATCCCCGAGCTTTCTATACTCCATGTGTTGCTCATTGTCTAAAGCTAACATTATGTGATATGGTAAACTGTTGTTCCAAAATTGTATCCTTCTTCAAAGTGATACAACGTATCTATACATTGTTTTCCTCTTCTACTAAGTGATGGAAAATTTTAAAAGATAATGTACGAGGGTTGACAGTGAAGCCATTGTCACAAACACGTTGGGAAAGTCATGTTGAGAGTGTGAAGCCTATAATGGAGCAAATGTATGGATAAAAGATGTATTTCTTGATTCGGTAGAAAGTAATGAACATCCTAAAGTGAAGAGTGAAGTCGAGTCGTTAGTAACACATGAACTTCAAAATTTTGAGTTTTTACTTGGCATGATAATCTGCAGGTTGTTGCATGTTGTCAATATTGTGAGTAAATTTCTTCAAACCGAATCCATGGATATTGATCATGATATCGACCTCTTGCAAGGACTTATTTCATTTCTTGAAGAATATAGAGAAATTGGATTTTCTATTGCTAAGGATGAAGCGACAAAAAAGGCAAGCGAAATGGAAATTGAAGTTGTATTTATAGAAAAACGCATAATTCGAAGAAAAAACCAATTTGATGAAAGCAGTAGTGATGAGGTAAAGCAATCAGCAGAAGAATCTTTTAGAGTTGAGTACTTTGTTTTTATAATTGATCAAACTCTGTCTTTTCTGAAGACCCGATTTGAAAAATTCAAACAATATGGTGACACATTTGGATTTTTGTTTAATTTGAAAAAGTTAAGGAATGCAAATTTTTCAAGTTTATTGAACTCTTGTATGAATCTTGAGAAATATCTTCAACATGATGGGCGTTCAGACATCAGTGGGGATGATTTATTTTCTGAGTTACAAGTCTTGAGGTATTATATACCAAGTGAAGCAACAAGAGCAATTGAAGTGCTACAATATTTGAAGACATTGAATGTTTGTTTTTCAAATACTTATATTACTTACAAAATTTTGTTAACCATATCAGTTACATTTACATTTGCGAAAATAAATTTCTCGAAATTGAAGTTGATCAAGACCTATCTCCGATCAATTATGTAGCAAGAAATATTAAACGGGTTGACTATGTTATCAATAGAGAAAGAAATGGTTGAGCGGCTAAATTATTCAGATTTGATTGATGTTTTTGCCTCTAAAATAGCAAAACGAATAATATTTAACTAATTATTTCAAACATTATTGGTTTTGATAGTTTATAATATAAATCTTTTCTACAATATATTTAGTTGTTGTTTTAATGTTAGTTTTTCAAGTTAGTAATGGGTCGCATAATACATCGTTGAATTTTACATTTACGTTGATTTCGTCGGGGGCCTAATTTACAGACTTCGCCTCAGGCCCCGAGAATCACAGGACCGACTCTGATTTCAGTTGATGAGATTCACTCGTATAGGAGAGTTTATTAGACTTTTTTCATATTCGCATTTGTTAGTATGCATGCAATTGGTTCCTACTAAATTGTTTGACTCGCTTCTATGTTTCAACTGCTCATTATGTTCACACTCAAAATGCATTAGGTTTTGATTTAATTAATGACAAATTTTGGTAGACCTAACAACAAATTTTATACTAATTAATAAAGTTTGCCTTGAAAGGTTTGCCAGGACATATACAATACACAAATACAATTGAAAATTCCTAACAAATTATGGTATATGCAGAGACGGAGTGGGGGGGGGGGGCAGCACTGGGCTAGCCCAGTGCTACCAAAACCCATGTCCATTACAAGCCCAAAAAAATGTTAGAAAATTTTTAGTTTTTGTCCATTAGCCCACCCATTTTGTAAGTTCAACTTGGCCAAAAAAATTATTTTAATACCCAATAGGCAATAGCCCATTGCCCAACACCCAATTATACAACAAAATGAACATATATCCTTCACTTTCATTCCACCTGCCCTACTGCCCAGATTTACGCATCTCTCTCTCTCTCTCGGTCTCTATCATTTTTATTGAAAATTTTGAAAACAAAATTCCCAAATATTTGAATAGCCCTAATAGGCTAATTCCAAACCTTTCTATTCTTTTCCCTAATTATCATCTCAAAGGAGATTGTTGGCCACAAAAAGGAAGAAGAACAAGTGAAGTTTGATGAGTTTTGGTCGGCTGTCGACAACTCCTTTGATAATTCAATTCAAACCCCATTTTTAGCCAACAACTCATTTCCTTCGATTATTGGTTAGTAATTGTGGCCCTTTTTAATACTTGTGTCAAGATTTAAAATAACCCTTTTTTTGGGGAATTAAAACAATTTTTTTGGGCAAGGTGTTCTGACGTTTTAATTTTTTTTGCTATGTGTAATGTATTTGATTAATGATAATTTTTTATCTATGTTATGTTTATGGGTTATACTATCATGCTACAATTATATTTATTTATTTATTTTTTGCAAAAGGCATGCATTTGGTATTCGAAGTCTCCAACTCCCTGTTGATGATCAATATTTTGCCAGTGCCACTGTAAATAATTGGAATTAATTAGGCTTGCAAATTTTGCTAAACTTCAATGGCAATATTAATTTATAGAAATAAAATGAGGAAGAAAGTCTTTAACACGTCCTCCAGCATTATGTTCATTTATTTTTATATTTTTTGCTATGTTATGTTTATGGTTATAATTTTATTTATTTATTATTATTATTTTTTTTTACAGGCATTTGATTGGTTTGCTTTTAAAACATCTAAACAAGCTTAATAATTCATCTAATTGTCTCGTTCACTTCATCGGCAAGATGGCAACAAACTATGTAAGCACTAAGCAGGTATTTCGCTTGACCTTGATCACCTTGAATTGTATTTTACGTTGGATTATGAGTTTATGATAATACTTAGATTTGGTGTTGAATTTTTAACTAGTTATAATATTTTTGAAAGGTTAAATAAGTGGTTAAAATGTTGCTAGTGGATTGTTTTTGGATTGTTGGGATACTGAAGCGTTTTGATTTTTTTTTTATGCTTTTAGATTTTAATGTGGAACCAAATTGACCTCTTGCCAAGAAAAGAAGAACCTTATTATCTTTCTTTACAAAGAGCGACAAATCTGAGGGTGCTCCAACTCCTACGGAACCGAATCCTCCAATTGCATCTCCTGAAATTGAGCGGTCTTCATCTTTCAATGTTGAGTTAGAACCATCTTATTCTAAAGAAACGAGACCCAGGAAAAAAAAACAAATATATGAATATCCGTTTAATGAACGTGATCAAATTAGGCGTGCCTATTTAAAAGCTGAGCTTTATCAACCAAAACTTTTGGAGTATCAAAGCAAAGAACTTGGAAAACAGAAACGTCGATTTTAAGAGCATTGGTACAATCAGTATTCTTGGTTAGAGTATTCTCCTTCAACACATAAGGCATATTGCTTTTTCTGCTTTCTTTTTCTCAATGAAAGTATTCCACCTAATATTTCATTATTGGTTACTGTTGGATTTGATAGTTGGAAGAGGGTTGGCCAGGGAAGTAAATGTGCATTTCTTGTTCATATGGGTACAATATCTTCATCATATCATAATTGTTGTAAGAGAAGAGCTGAAAATCTAATGAAACCAACTCAACATATTGATAAGGTAATACACGCTGTATCAAGTGAGGAAAAATAGAAAAATCGTTTGCATCTAATGACCACAATTATGAGTGTTCGGTGGCTAGCACTTTAAAGTTGTTCATTTAGACGCAATGATCAGTCTCCATCTTCACTGAATCGTGGGAACTTTCTTGAAATAGTAGATGCATTTGGAAAAATGAATACAAAAATAGGAGAAGTTTGTTGGGTAATGCTCCAAAAAAGGCTACATACACATCTCCAGACATTCAAAAAGAGATTTTGAACATTATGGCTAACAGAGTAAGACAGAGAATTCGTAAAGAAATTGGGGATGCAAAGTTTAGTATTCTTGTTGATGAAACTCGAGATGCATCTTCTCAAGAACAAATGACTATTATCTTGAGATTTATGAATGGTAATGGAATTTTGACAGAGCATTTTTTTGCAATCAAAAGTGTTAGTGACACTACATCGTTGAATCTTAAAAATCAAATTTCTGATGTTCTTGATCATTTCAACCTTCAAGTGCAAAACATGAGAGGTCAAAGGTATGATGGTGCTAATAACATGCGTGGTGCTTGGAATGGACTACTAGCATTATTTCTTAGAGATTGTCCATATGCATATTATGTTAATTGTTTTGTCCGTCGTTTACAACTCACGTTGGTTTCAGTAGCTAGGGATATCGCAGACATTAATTCATTCTTTTCAGATTTGGACAATGTTATTAATATAATTGCATCATCTCCTAAGTGCATCAATGAGTTGAAAAACTCCAAAAAAAAAAAATTGAAATTGAACATTTGTTGGAAATTGGAGAACGAGAGACTGGAAGTGGGGCTAATCAAATTGATAACTTGCAACGAGCTGGAGGTACTCGTTGGTCTTCTCATTACAACTCTGTAAAGAGTTTGATTGATATGTATATTGCAATTTGCAAGGTATTTGAGTATCTTAGTGATCATTCTCCAAATGTAAGAACTCGGTCTGAAGTGGGTGGTATATACAAAAAATTGACAACATTTGAAGTTGTATTTATTTTGCATTTAATGGGCAGAATGTTGGCAATCACAGATGTGCTTTGTCAAGCCCTTCAGAAAAAAACTCAAGACATCTTAACTGTTATGAGATTTGTCCATACTACAAAAACCATCATTCAAGAATTGAGAGAAGATCGCGGGGAAGAATTTCTTGAAGAGATGAATTGTTTTTGTTCAAAAAATGATATACATATATCTGACTTTCATGGTTCATACATGGTTGGTCGTTCTCGTGGTTTTGAGTATCCTACCATCGAACATCATTACCACTTCGATATTTTTAATGTAGCCATAGATTTTCTGATGACAGAGTTAGATACAAGATTTAATGAGATATAATTAAAACTCCTTTCTCTCGGTATGGCATTGGATTCGAAAAATTCTTTTGAATCATTTAACATGGATAATATTTGCAAGCTTGCAAAGAAATTTTATCCTCAAGATTTTACACAGCAAGATATTTATAGTTTGAAAGTTGAGTTGCAACATTATCAGCATGATGTGATTTCTGAGCCTCGATTTCAAGTACCTACACTTTCTGATTTATGTCAAGAATTGGTTGCAAGTAGAAGATCGGAGAGTTACGTCAATTTGACTAAATTGATTCGTCTAGTATTGACACTACCTGTTTCAACAACTACCGTGGAGTGAGCATTTTCTACAATGAAACATGTGAAGACGAAAATTCGTAACAAAATGGATGATGATTTTCTTGTTGATTGTATGACACTTTACATTGAACTAGAATTTTCTTTGAATTTAGATTTACATTGTATTATTGATAAATTTTATGCTATAAAGCATCGTCGGTTGCAACTGTAACTGATAATATTATATTATGATTTTTTTTTGTTATTTATGAATTTTATTCGTACATTAAATTTCTAAAGTTTTACCCTCCGTAACATTAATTCCGGACTCCGTCCCTGGGTATATGTTAAATGAGACTTTAGGAAGAGGGGTCTTTTTCTAACAACAGGAATGGTGATATATGAAAATAAACATTTAGTATAATATTAAATGCAGAATTTAACCAGAACCCTAGAAAATATAGGAAATGTCCCACCAATGACAGCTGGGAATTTGGAAAAGTGGTTGAAGAAAGTATTACTTCAACTACATATGCGACTTTTACACGACTAAAAATTAGAAAGCAAAATTGTCGATTTACTTAATATTGCTTTTCAGTTCAATAGAAACTCACTTGTGATATCAACGTTCACGTTTAAATTGGACAACTAATAGAAAGTTTTTTAAATTAATGTTAATTGCTTAGAAGTGGGAACATGCGTTGATACGACATTGAAAATAAAGTATGAAAAATGGTACAGCGTCATGAGTCGAATCACATGATTCCAGTGCACGACTCAATCTCATTCTAGTTATGGGGATTTGTTGACGAAACTCTTTTTAGTACGATAAAAGTAGGTACAAATGATTAAGACACATCTGAGTTAATCGACTATAACATGAATATTAATATTTGAGCTATAATTATCGAGATTTTTCAAAAATTGTAGAGATGCCAATTTAAGCTTGTTTTTCATGACTCCTAAATTTCTTATCTCAGAACAAAATAGAAATGATACGAAAACTCCTCGTGTTGCTGTTTCTGTTCCTGTGCAGTCTAGTTCTTCATGAAAGGAGGAATCTTCGCGTCCTCCTCAATTGGGTCGATGAAGAATTCGGTGATGATGGGCGTAGTAATGGCGAAATCCAAAAGGGAATGCCAGCTGCATTTCCATTCTCTCCTGGAGAACACGAGGCATGGACCGAATTTCTTCAGTTTGATTTTTTGTACTTTACGTTATTCTCTTTTTGGACAACTCGTCTTTCTATTGCTTTGTTGGTTGTTCTGAATACAAGACTTAGTAGTCCTTATTATTCCATTTTTGTCACATGAAATATGGACATAATTTTGAGTTCAACTAGAATCTAACCTATTGTCAGCCCTAATATCTCAGTGCTGCCGAAGATATTGAAAAAATTGAATGGATATCTTTTGAGAGATATGATACAGCTGTGAAATGTGTAATGACTTATGGGTTGGCAAATATAGTGTAAGAGGGCTTTTAAGTTTTCAAACAAGAGGAACTCAACTTGGGTTGGTTAATTCATTTATAACAAACATGGGAAGTAGGTCACATGCGCCAAGTGACATTGATAAGATTTGCTTACCAGATATGAATAAAATCACATGACCATAAATTCCTTGTCTTGCTTCTTGCATTTAATCGATTCATACTTCTAGAGTCAGTTTATTTTGAATTAAATCCATGTATATGCTAATAGACAAGTCGGGAGTACAACAAGTAGTAGATTAATGAGTTGAGATCTGTTATCCAATTTTACTATCCACCTAATTGTAAATTGGCGTATCATGGAAAAACTAAAGTTGTCGTCAATTTTAATTTTTCAATCTTAACATCAATTTTAATTTTTCATAATGTGTCAATTTGTAATTACGTGGACAACAAATTGGAAATTATAAATGGACAACAAATTTCAACTCTTATTTGGTGAGGATTAAAATTTTTAATTGTAGTCTAAATCAAAATGTACAATTAATTTTAACCACATATTTTATGAAGTCCACAACTTTTCAATCACAAAATTTATTAATTTTTATCAAAATCTACTAAAAGTCTGATTTTAATTCCTACCAAACTTGTATTAGGTAAGTTTCACCCCCCCCATCTTGAGTAAAAGAACTATGGCCCACAAGAAATTCTTTAATAAAAACACACTTCTTAGATTATGGTTGGGACTTTCTATGTAAGACTATGATCTTAAGCACAACTTGCAACACAATAGATCATTTTGGTACTCTTTGCATTGCAAAATAAGAAGTTTTTGAAATGAAATAGAGAGCGAGCCTAACATGGACGATAAATTACATAAGATGGCATACCAACCACCATCGTGAATGTTTAAGAATCGTCAATGTTTGCTATTATCTACTGGGATGAGACTGAGCACTTCTGTGTTAAAATCACACTAAAATATGTGATTATGTTCACAAAGTTTACTAAACTTCATCTCAAATTATTCATCGCGAAAAAACTACACTCTTATAAAAGTCATTATGTCTATGAATTGCTTTTATGTAAACATAATTAGATAGAGACAACAAAACATTACTTAGAAGTCTTAATTATTGATGCTAAATATGATTAGACATAGCAAAATGATTTAATGATTCCTAATTAATAGGTACATATGTATGTTCTTTAAATCGGAATATTTCTCTTGTAATTATCATTGTAACTCAATCAATCAGATTTGCAAAGATAAGTCAATATTTTGTCATAATTATGTCTATATGACAATCTTAACCATGAATTAGAACGTTTGAAAATGTTAAAAGTAGAGGGAAAAGAAACTAATTCTACTTAATCAAACAACTGACATACAGTCCAAATTGGGGGGAAATCTTGATGGGGGCGTATGTAATTTTATTGACGAATATTGTGAGGCTAAAAAATGGCCATGGACTGGTAACATGATGTTATGTAGATTCGCTAATTTAACGTGCTTGGTTAAATTAAGTCGTAACATCAAATTTGACTGAGATCAAGTCTAACTAACATGATATCAAAGTTTAAAATAAAAAAAAAAAAAAAAAAAAAAAAAGGCTCCATGTAAAAAAAAAATGTAAGAAAAAAAAAATAAAAAAAAAAAAAAAAAAAAATTAAAAAAAAAAAAAAAAAAAAAAAAAAAAGAGGCTCTCGGGGTGACTCCGCTCCCACATCAGACACAAGCATAGAAAATATGGAATTTGAATCGCAATGACAACTTGTATGAAGGTAATAAAATACGTAGTGATGGTAAAGGGGTCAAGACAGCCATTACTATCTCCATCATGTCATGAGCGAATGATATGTAAAATATTTTATGTGCCTAAAATGTCACAAATGTATATGATTAAATGTAAATTCCATTCGTAATTAAGAAATAATCATTCTTTACCAAGATTCCAGTATATACAATTATGGATAATGACCTTATTTCAACTTCTCCAACGAGAAGCTTGAAATGTTAAAAGGGTTCTTTTCTAACATATTAAATTTGAGCATGAAAAATATATTTTAAGTTTAAATAATAAAATATAAACCGTTATGTAAATTTTATCATTTTACTTTCACGCTTTCTGATTCCAGAGACTAATTGTTGATTTTTTGGAATATATATTAATTCAGTCAAATTCATATAAATTATGGTTTAATATATTGATTTGCAAAAATAATATTGAAGTCGAATCAAAATTATGCTTTGTTGTTAGAATTGAGAACTCGATCATATTCCTTTGATTTTCAATTTTAAGATTCAGAATCGGACCAATTTTAATTGAAATCGAACCGGTTAGTCTATTAACAAGTTGGGGGCGTAGACCCAGGCCTGATTTGAACAATTGCTCATGTGGATTTTGATATTGGGATTTTTTATTGGTTTGTGTAAGGAAATTTAGCCAAAGCTATTAATTAGGGGCAGAAGCCAACTTGGTACTAATTTGCTTTCACTCCTAGTGCTACCTTCTGCAACTTCTTCTTCTTCTTTATATATATACTAGTCTATGCTACGTGTGATGCACGAGCTTGTGCATGAATTATGGTTTGGTTAGCGTATGTATTGAATATGTTTGAAAATATATGAGAAGTTGGAATTATTGGCAAGGAACTAACTAGTTATACGAGTCGATCACTCGTCTTCTTCCACAAAATGTCATTTTTCTACCAAAAGTTGCAAAATCAATAAAATTCATTAATAATGAAAATTCAAGTCATAGTTAGTCAAAGAAATACTCCACTAAACAATAAAAGCATTCCAAGCAAAAAAAGCTAGCACCATAGCAGTACATCCTTCAACAAATTATAGTAGATATAAATGTATTATTGTACAATAGGGAAATAATTCAAAGTAAAGCAGAAGTTAGAACCTGAAAATCCTAAAATTCTTCATCAACGCCTATTTTCCTTAATGGAATGTTGAGCACTCCTTAAAACGCTCCATTCGTTATGAGGAATTTGAGCAGTGTAACTAAACTTCAAGGCACTTTATTGTTAAACGATACTCTGATAGATATTTCATTAACTCAAACTTTGTAGAATTCAAAAACTCCTTAATATTACTCAATACTACATCTAGTTTTGTCCAATATTGAGATTCAATATTTTCGAAATCTAGAAGCTTATCCTCCATATGTATGCTTCTAACGATACCCGAATTTTTCTTGTCCACATCAGAAGGAAGGAGTGAATATTATAAAAATGAGGCTCTCCTTCAAAGGAATCAGCTTCTTTTAGAAAATCAGCCTTTTATTACATAGAATATTCTAAGCT